CTTCATACCTCATTCATCTACGCCAGCCCTGGGCAGGGAAATCTCCATCCACTCAAATTTTATTGAAGAAAAATCTCCTGACTCTCCTGCTAATGCGCAAACCGGCGCGGTCGCGAATGGGTTAAATAAGCTACGAAGTTTTTGGAACATGTATAGTAGATTCACAAGCCGCCAAGCCCTGAAGATCACCTACTCTCTAGTTGATTGGTAACTTATTGGAAAGGACGAAAATACTGTCTAGGAAATAGTTTACGTATGAATGAGGGCCGAAGTCGAATTTGAACGATTCCACAATGATGAATAGAATCTGAGTGCATGGCTTAGCTTTGTATGAGAAAATCACGAGCACTGACTACTTTGTTCTGGCGCTATGTCCAAACCATGAGAGCTAAACGAACTCACTTCTGGCAGTAGGGACACAGTGCTTCGTAGATGAGTGTGATCTTGAGGGTTTTCGCCTGTGCATTCGTAGAGCGTCACATTGCCGCTGAACCCCGCACTGCTGTGCCGCTTGGGGACTGTCACACCTGAAGTATAGTGACGTTCAGAAAATTGTCTCCAGTCTGCTCATCAGTGCCTGGTGTTTTCCCCCATTGTAAAGTATGCCTCGAGTCCGATGTTCGCGGTGAGTTTCATCGCGCTGCAATCCCTTTGTTCCATCAATCAACTCAGTCGCTTTTTTGTGGCCAAGTTGCAGATTCAAATGATTGGCAGCTGGTCGGATATCACCTCCACCGCACAAATTCACCGCAATAATAAGAAAAACTCTATCAAAGGTTGGAAAAATAAGGAGAAGACGGAAGAAACTGGCTAACCAGAGATCCGGCGGAATGTTGCAGTAGTGATGAGTCGGTTGGTTGGTGTAGTGATGTGATGGTGACGATGGGTAATAGGTCTGGTAAGCTTTTACCGGATATGCGGCTACATTCGAATGATAGGAATGATCATAACGAGGGTTGTGATAGGCAGCCAACTGAAATCGGTACAATCATAAATCGGTAAGCTACCGTAACCCCTGAACAACTGAAATTTGTTCTATCAGTGGATAAACGAACCGCAACGCTGGTGGCTATAAAAAGTGGAATCAATCTCGTGCAGCAGTGCATGTGGTAGGTGAGGGATGAAAGAGCTGGTGAAGGAAAGAACGAGTAGTGCTGAAAAGTGAAGTGCAAAGCGCCGCCGGGTGGACGAAGACGGGCCGTCGGACACACACGTGCTGGACAGCCACGCCTACAATCAATCGCCATCCAGGCGTGGGAGTTGAGCTGATCTACAGAACCCAATTCATGCGATGGGTTCATGAAGAATCTGAGGTCTTGACCAGATCAGCGATTTCGCTGGATTCTCAGAGGAAGGAGCTAGCAGCTTTCAACCTCTCTTTCCCAGAAAACAAGTGCTCATGTTATTAAAACGTGCTCGTAAAGATGTCGGCCAACGTTTTCAAGCGTTTCCTGTTGTACTGCTTAAGTGTACGCCGTGAGTCCATTTCGGATCCTAAAAACTGATGTAATGATTGTTCCATGGACTAAAGGTTACACATCCGTCTGGCGGGCACAGCTTTATGAATTATGGAGCATTCTGGCTGAGATCCTCGCTGCGGAGACTCATCTAACCTCTATAAAGCCTCAAAGCGATTGGCTAAAACAGAGGAATTTCACGATTAACAGAGGAATTTCGAAAAAATCGCATCACAGCCAATAGGGTGTGTCGCCAAGTGCCATGTGGTCAACTGCCGGATGAAGTGATGAATCGCACACGGCGTCTCCAATCACTGTACAGTTTCAAGTTTTTGTGTCGTCATTTTTCCCTACGGCCCACTCCCTCCTATTCCACTTCTGCCGAAAACGAGAGTATTGTCTCTGTGCCGTCTTCATATAGCGTCTGTTCCGCTGAAATGTGTCTAGATTGGAAGCAATGACCTACTACGAATTCTAACTAGCAGGTGTCCTTTTCCTCTTTGCTTTCATTTGTCATATTAAAGTACCTATCGCTACAATGGCTATCTGCCTTTGTAACAGCTCAAGTATTTATTTATTTATTTATTTATTTATTTATTTATTTATTTATTTATTTATTTATTTTTATTTATTCAATACGCTGTGTAAGACAACGTTAGAAAGGAAAATACGCAATAAAACTATAACATCAACGAGAAGCTGAGGTAAATATAAACAAGTCAAATCAGTGGAGAAGTGTTGCCGATTATGCCTTTTATGCCTTAGTTACGAGCATTTGAGTAAAAGGTAAATGAGACCAATGTTCCGCGGGTAAATAGTCACTCAGCTACATCGAAGGGCGACAAATTAATCAAACATGTGAATCGTCACGAAATGTCTCGTCGTTTTTCTGTATTTTATTCGCATTTAAGGTTCTTTAGGCGGAAGTGGTGTAGTGACAAGTGGCGCGCTTACCACGCGAGCGGTCCGGGGATCAAATCCTGGGTCGTGAGTCGCCCGGGCCAACCAAGCCTTCCATCCCTCCGGGGTCGGTTAATTGGTACCAGACTTGTCTGGGAGGATAAAAAACACTGACTTGTACATCGGCTGGCCCCCGCAAGTCATTGTATAGGCCAAATCGCGCTCATACGTCACTACGAATGTACAAGTGGAGGTAGAAAGCATGCCGCATCCCGAAATTGATCAACGACAGATGCTTTATCCTTTTATTCTTTATGTTGCTTACGTTCATACAGCAGCATTTTCGGTTCCCAGATGACCATGTCAGTTCTACCGTGAGGGACCATTAAGCACATTTTTGAATGATAAAGTCTTCTCATAAATGAACTATCACTGGTTGTACCTACAGTTCTTTTGGTGCGACTTCTAGAAACATTTAAAAGCGTGGAAGACTGTGTTGCTTCGTGCCAGTTGTCACAAAGCTCGGAAGGAAACCTACCGGGCCACGACTCGATGTATAAACTACTGGCGTGATGTTGAAGAGGTGGTGTTATCTTATCTGAGGTAGCTACCTTCAGTGCGCAAGAATGGAAGAACATTCAGGACTTCTTCCACATCAGTTCCCTAGATGGAACTGTCAAAATTTGCAACTCTGAAACTTCATGTCTGGAAGTCCCTGCTGCAACAAGTAGATGTTTATTTATCCAATAAAACGTAGCTCACACAAAGTGAGGGTGGAGCATTGCGCTGCCAGGTAGTATGGTTGATAGGAATCGTACGAGGCGGAAAAACCACTTTCACGCGGAGTTCGCAGGCCTATTTGAAAGCTTGAAGTGTAGAACAAGTGGCTTACGGGTGAGATCTATCCAATGGGGTAGGGCGGACCAAAATTATGGTCACCAAATTACATTATTGAAAACAAATACTAGTCCAATCAAACAAACCAACTTCATAACAGTGTTGGCCACCAGTGAAACTAAGCATGGTTAGGTCGGGCTGGGAATCTGCTTTCCTACTGCACACAGAGGCCTTCAGATGAAGAGGGAAGGCGTGAACGGTGGCACGCAGATAAGACGCGTCAAAATGACTTTTTTTGTGTGCCCTCCTCAGAAACTCAGACTTAGCATTAAGTTTTCTGTTGCTTCCAGGTTTACCATACGAAGGATCCATCTGAGTTCGGTGGGGGAGTCCTAGGTAACAGTTGTTCGAAGACTATGAACTCGAAAAATCATTCCTTGCGGACCTTTTGCTTTATGACTAGGTGCCTTGTCCCAAAAACGTCCAGAGTAACGTCTCCAGGTGGCTCCTGTCCATGAAAGAGAATGGAAGCACAAGAGTATCCAAGTGGTCTTTACATCAGTTTTTT